TTCAAGTTTTTGTCACAAATATAAAAAAAAAGAATATTTTTAATGCATTAAATATTAATTTTCGCTGAATATTTTTTAAAGTTCAATACAAGAAAATAAGTTTTTTGTGTGTTAAATTTTAAATTCTTTTATCAAATTAAAAAATCATTTTGGATAATAATATTTAAAAAAAATGTTGGAGAGGGAAAAGATAAATTGAGAGGGGCAAATATCAATTTCTAACGGGCTGGTTCTCATATATGGGCTCATGCACGATGTATTTACCTGTAAAAAGATGATGAATGTTTCTTGCTTCACCCATCAAATTTGTTCTTGTACTCCCTCATTTCAGATTATGTTTTTGAGAACGTATTAAATCAAATTTAGAAAATAAAATCTTCCACTTTTCCAAAAGACAATCACCTACTCTTATTCAGAAATTTTTTTTGTGAAAGATGGAATGCAAGAACAAAATTGATAAGGTGCAAGAAGCAATAGCAAAAACTGCTACACATTCTACATAATTTTCTTTTCTTATTTTGGGCTGTCCAAATTTAATATAACACAGTCTTAAAAACCCTCTTTCACATCTTTATTACTATCACTACATTCACATATATTTTATTTTCTCACTAGAAAAATGACATATTTTATTTAAAAAATATAAATTAAATATTTAAACCTATAAAATATAGAAATATTGTTTAGAACTAAGTTTTAACTAAAAAAAAAAACAAAATATCAAAATTTTTAATTGAAATTTATAAAATAGAGAAAATATTATTAAAATTTATTGAAAAAGTTTTATTGAGAAAAAATATAAAAATAAAAGTTGGAGCTTTTCTATACATTTTTTTTTATTTTAAGAAGTTTGAGTATTATAAAATTTTGGTTTTCCTTTTTTTAATAAAGATTTTGAAATGTATATTTATTTATTGAAAATGATTAGTTGTAAGTTTAAATTTTTTTATAGTGTAATGTAATTTTTATTATTTAAAAATTGGTTAGGAGAAAGAAATTGAAAGAATAAAAATTCAAAAATCTAAATGTAAATTAGATAAAATTTTTTAAGTTATTTGTTATTTAAATTAAAGTTAATAATTAGAAAAATAAATTATCTAGTCATAACCTTTTATTTTTAGAAAAATTTAGTAATAGATGTATAGTAAAATTAAAATAAAGATAACATGATTAAAATTTACTACAACCCTGTTTATAAATTCTATCTTTTTTTTATTCTCTTTCTTTATGTGTTCGTCTCTTTTTTTATCTCTTTCTTTTTCTTTTTTTTCTTTCTTTACTTATTATCTCTTTTTCTCTTTCTATTTGTTATGTTTTTTTTTTCTCTCCCTCTCTTTCTCTGTATACATATATTTATAAGTTAAAAAATGATGTGTATTCCTCTCGTTCTCTATATACATATATTTATAAGTTAATAAATAGTATTTATTTTATGTTTTTTTTTATCTCATTTATATGATAAAGATAATAAGTTAAAGTTTATCATATTAATAACTCTTTTAAGTATAAGAAGTGAGAAAAGAATTTTCTATTTGATGACCATAAAAGGATAGTCGAAATTTTGGAACAACTCCTTTGCAAAATTTTGTGAAAAATATTGTTAGAGTTTGCTTATCAACTCAACCGATTATGAATGTGAGGTAAGTGTAGACGACAACATATTTGTCTGGATCGATGTTACCATCGTATTGATCAAAAGTGAAGGTTTTCCGTTATTTAGGAAGAAAGATATTCGTGATGCCATCAATAAAGAGACGCTGATGATTCTCTCCCGTCGTTGAGGAGTTGTCTTTGGCTTCTTCATTTTTGGTGGTAGGGTTGTACTCGCTCTCTTCTTTAGTTTCGCCTTCTCCTTTCCCTTTCTGGTCGCTTCATCAGCCTTGACTTTCCTTCTTAGCCTAGCATTATCTGCTCTCAAGACTTCTATATCCTAGCGCTCATCTTTTTAAACTTAGCAAACTCTTACTACATTTGCTTTTGTGCCTCCAACATAGTGACTATGTTAGCTAAGGAGGGTCCTACTTCTCTTGCTCCAACCATCTTGCTTCTCGTAGGCACCATAAATTGTTTTCTTTACAAAATATAAGTTGGCTCCATGGTGGAGGCCAATTGTTCTTATAGAGCTAAATATATCTTGCAAAGACTCCAACAAGTATACTTCAAAGCTCCAAAACTTTAACTTCAAAAACACATCCTTTTTAAGGGTACTCATCCTAAATAGTACTCAAGTCAACTAAGTACATGAATAGTACACATGCCTACAAAAAACACTTTATACTCAAGTCAGCTAAGTACATGAATAAATAATAGATGTGATAACAAATGAAAACCTAACTTATTACCTCGTAAATTATGTTATTTATACTATTATTTATAGGCTTTTTACTTGGGTAGGCCTGATTCATGTGGTTAATTACCTCAATTAATCTTTGATTAGCCAAACTTGCTAATGATGCTTTAATCTTGATGTTAATATAGTTAATGTTTGTTAGAGTTTGCCTAAGTCGATATGTTGTCGATCAGGCCGTCAAAGTATGTATTTACAGCATAATAGTCAAGTACATATAGGCATAGGTGATCGAGATGTACTATGACACACATGTACGTTTATATTTTAATTAATATGATTTATGTGGAAAAAAAACGTATGAATTGTTCATGTTTTTAAGAGAAATGGTGAGAATTAAATATAATATTAGGTAAATTAATTACTAATAAATATTAAATATTGATTAGTAAAACTTAATTTAAAAATTTTAAGACCTTATTAAATGTGTATTTGCAATATAATGAAAGAGATATGGTTTGTGAAAGGAAAATTGATTATTTTTTTTTATTCAAGAGAACTTTCTAGTTTTAAAAATCTATGTTTGATAAGATAAATTATAACGATGAATTTCATAGTGACTCATATTCTCACTTTCATCTTTTTACTTTTTTTTTAGAATAGTGTCAGCAACTTCTATGAAATAAATATCAAAACAATCTTCTATTTTATCATCACTATACGCATATATAATTGATATAATATTTTATACACATATAAATATAATTATTCAGAACTTATAAAATCAAACAAGACCTAATAAATGTTTATATAAAAGGTAGGAAATATAATTCTAAAAAAAGGTCTCAATGAAATATATTTAAGTTTGATACAATTCAACATATGCACTTACATGTTTTTATTTAAAAATATTATTATCACAATTTAAAGTAATTATTTTTCAAAAGCATTAATATTGTGTTTGGTTCCAGAGGTTTCCTGTTTATTAGAGAATGAGAGCTAATATTCATTTTGTTTGATTAAGTGTATTTGAAGTGATTTGGGAGAGTAAAGTTGTGGGATTAACTGAAATCTCTATCATCGAATACGAAGATTATACATTTATCTATGTTGTTATACTACTACTAAAAACATGAATATCTCATTTATACTTTTAATAAATCAATTTTACTTTATGCTTATATAAAGTATGATTACCTTCGTAATATCTTCTCTCATTCTCATCAAAGTAATTTCCCACTCATTTCAAAAGTCAAGTATTAACTCATCCCATCTTTAAAATTAATTTAAACAAGTACAAAGTAAAATATTGTCTGAATAACATTCTTATTTAAAACTTAATTTATTTTAATTAACACAATATTAATTAAATGGCAGCACAAATTATTAAAAATCACTTATTTTAGAAGGAGTTTTAAGACTGGGGTTATATAAATTGACTTATATAATCTTCACATAAAGAATATATGTAGAAATCAACAACTTACAAAAATAAAAAAAAACTCACAATCTAACAAAGTTAAGTCAATATTAAGTTCACATGTAACCTTACAGTTGTATTAATCAAAATCAAACTATATCCTATAAAATACCTCCTTTAACTTTAAAACTTATATCAAAACAATAATTAAAAGATTATATTTCATTTAACAATTGATAACAATAAAATAACTTTTAAACTTGTTACAAAAGTTCCATTCTGTCATATATGTATTAAAAGCTTGATACATTCAAACTTAGAAATTAATAAAATATCTATTAATAAAATCACTTATAAAGCAATATCGCAAGATATGAAACCATAATAATTAACCAAAAATTCAAATTTTACTCCAATTTCTAAATTAGCAAGGATTTTACATTAATCCACAACTCAAAAAATCATATATATACGTCAAGTAACTCTTAGAACAAAATTATTTATCCTTTATCGTTGATAGGGTGTTGGAAGATGGTGCAGGAAGTAATAGCATTAAAGAAAGCTTATAAATGTGCAATTGGCATCATTGTCTGCTAAGCTCACACCCCATTCCTTTTGATTTTAAATACAATAATCTTGTTTTCAGCCCAAACTCAAAGCCCAGCAACACTAAAAGTCAAGCTATTTATCACAGTCCTCCTTTTTAGCACAACTATTATCATTTAATAAAAAAAATTATAAAACTAAATATTAAGCATGAATTAAATTTATAAATTTTGAATTTATCCACGTTTATTTTAAGGCACAAAAAGTACTTCCTTACTCAAAACAAACGAAAAGAATATAGAAAATATATAATGTTACTCAAATATAAGCATTTTCATTTTTTTTATAAAAATATTTTACTGGATTATCGAACTAGTTTAAGTTTAAAAAGTTTTTAAGGTGAAAACATTAACACTCATAACAAATATAATTATCAAATAGATATTATAAAATCGTGTTGACTACATATAGATAATTTGATTTTGTGATTGAATAAAACTATCAAAAGTCTTTAAATTATTTATATTTCCACTATGTCGTAAAAAACTGTTCGTTTATTCATTCAACAAACCAACTAATCAAATCAGTTTTGACTAATTCAATTTATTTGGTTGACAAGTCAAATTCTTGGAGTCAACCTAATTCGATAGACTCATTGCTGCCTTTTTGTCAATTGTGATGCCTTAAACCGATGGGAAATAGTAATTAAGAAGAAATAGAGTGAGCATCATTGACATGAAAAGCATGTTAATAGTCCAATATGGACAAATGATATCACAGGAATATTCCAAGTGTTATTATTGGTATTATTGATGGGGGCAAAGAAACACTGTATTGTCTGTATAGATGATGTAACTGTTGATTTCCCCGTCCCAAGATAGATAGCGTTGGGATAATATTTGGTAGAAGGAATTTCAAACTATGTTGCAACTTAAGCTTTCAGTGTTTAACTTACCTACGTGCAATAACTATCTTACAATCACCTTACTTGCCAATCTCAAAATTGAACTCCCTCTTTTACTCCTCTACAGGAGGATCCACCCAGCGTCCATGCTCTTTTATTAGATCAATCAATGCATTGGTTGCATGCTCCATTTCAATTCCACGCTTCACCACTGTCTGTAATTGTAATAATTTATTGAACATTATATCAAAATCCATTCAATATACATAGAAAGTTGGAAACAAGTTTTCTTTTTCATTTTGATAAGCTTTAGTAATTTGGGTATGTAGAATGTTGTTACCTTTCCAACATAGAGATCGATCTTCCCAGGAGTGCCTCCCACATACCCAAAGTCTGCATCAGCCATCTCACCGGGTCCATTTACAATGCATCCCATGATTGCAATCTGATGCAGGAGAAAGTAAACATGGCAAATCAAAGGCATTTCCCATTTTGTTCAGATGAAATTAGTTTAAATTGTTGCAACTGGGAACTGGGAGGTAGGAATACGATTAGAAAAGAAAGGATAAGGTGATTACCGAAACCCCGGGGAGATGTGAGGTCTTCTCCCGAATTTCTGCACTTATTTCTTGAAGATCGAACAGCGTTCTGCCACAGGATGGACATGAGACATACTCCTGCAAGTTCATGTCAGGCAAATCAATAAATGACATGGTTATTTCTTTTTCATAGTCAATATATGTTTTGTCTGCGCTTGATCTACTTACTGTCTTTGTATTTCTCATTCTGCAGCCTTGCAACAAATTGAAAGAAGTGTTTCTAATAAATTCAAAATCCTTGTCTGGCGCTTCCAGAAGAAGCCCGTCTCCAAGCCCATCAACCAGAAGGGCCCCAGCATCAGAACCAGCACCAATTACCAAGTCATCCCTACAAGAAGTAGTGATTAGGTTCTCATAAGAACTACTTGTTTTTTGCACTATTACTAAACTGAAAAACCCTGTGAATCCCATTTGGAAACTGATGTGGTGAATAACAGGAAGTTTAGAGAGTTGTCGGCTAGAAATCAAATAACCTGACACCACGCAGAGTAATCACGATTAGAAAATTTTAAGAACCAATGAGATTAATTTTGTGGAATGGAATCATATATACAAGCAGCTCAGATCAATTATACTTGTCACCAATCAATTATGATTTCATTTCACTATTTAGTGTTCATCAGTTAAACTCAGACAGCAAGGTCAATCGGTTATATGGATTGGATTCATATTGCCAGATTGCTGCAACAAATAATTATGCATAATTTTCTCACCGCCTGGCTGCATGCACTCTACTAACTTTGTCTTCGGTATAAGGCAGGTCGTGGAGAAGCATAGTAGCGTCAACACCTTTAAGAATGTCCAGTTCTTCAAAAGACTCGTCACCTCTTACTGACACAACCAAGCGTGTCCCTGATAGGTTGCGAATTGATATAAGATCATGTGAATTTGAAGTGGACTAGGAAAAGATGTTATCAGAACCCCCTTTAGCTTTTACGTCAAAAAAAAGGAGCAAACCATAATTTTCAAACACAAGGTCTGATCAATGTTATTAAACTGAAGGGAGGTCCGTGTAATTAATTTGGAATCTAAAAATAGAGAAATGGGCTCAGAGAATGAACAGCACCTTGTGGCAAAAGTTTATAAGCTCCTGTAGATAGTTCCTTCAGGTTTACTAGAACCAATGCATTGGGTAATGGCTTTGTTAGCTGCTCCGACAGAGGAGTTATAACCCCCATGCTAATATCGACGAGTCTCTTGAGAGCTAGTCGCTGATCACAGTATCCAAAATCACAAAGAGGAAACAAAAATCCAATCGTCACAACTATTGACAAAGCCAAAATAGTTTGATGGAAAATGAAGTAGAACAAGTAAATTTAGACTTGGTTGCCACAGTGAAGGTTCTTACAGCCTCAGCATCATCTAGTGGAGGAAGTTCCCGTAATAAAAATTGAATCTACAGTTGCCAGATCCTGAATATATAGGCCATACTATGTCAATAACTACTTGTTTAAATCCACAACACATTCATCCATTAAAAGAGAGTAACAAAAACCTTAAATGGCATGCCAACAATGAGTTTGGCAGCAAGAGACTTGTAGAGGAGCTCTGGCGTCTGTAAAAATCAAAGAGGGAAAAGTTTTCAGAATGACAATTCCCACCTCCAAATAGATTAGAAACAAAGGTAATGGAAATGTGATGCATGTAAACAAATATACTGGTAGAGAAATCCAGTCAAACAAACAGAAGAAAAAACAATGGAAGAGTTATTAAAATGTTACCTTTAACTGATCCAATGAGACTGACATCAGAACAGAACCATCACGGTGGAGGACACCTCTGTAATCCACCTCCTCACCCTGTCCGAAGATGGAGATTTCAGTATACAAGGGTGGTGCCAGAAGAAGGAAGGACAAAATAAATACAACGTTCCTGTTTGTGCATATGGTTTCAAGTGTTTTTATAGAGCTTATAATATCACCTCTTTTTGCACTGGCAATTGACCAGTTCGGCGCTGGAAGTCAAAATAACGCCTGTTCTTTTCTTCAAAAGGTTCCTGATGGAAGTAATGTCATCAAAGGTAATTCTAACTATTTGAGGATACCAAAATTTAGAAAGTTTAGCAACATCTTATTGAAGTGTTATTTTGAATCCTTACCACTCCCTTCTGGAGTTCAGAAGCTCTCATTCCAAGATTTGCCAACCTTCTGCAAGGATCTATCTCCTCCTCTGGTGGTTCTGTGAGAGAAACCCAATTGTATCACCCCAATCCATCCTAAAGAACATCATATTGTCAACATACACAGTAAGTCAGTAATGAATACACAGATGGAAAAATATTTTCATTTTTCATGGCAATTTGAATAATTTCCATCTAATAATGCAATCAAACACATGCATACCTGAAGAAGAGTTCCAATGCCAATTGCAGACTTCATCCTACCATCTTCACCTTCTCCAGCTTCAGTAACTCCCAAGTGTAATGGATAATCCCAGCCTTGAACATACATTTCAGCTACAAGTAAGCGGTATGCCTGAACCATGATAACTGGGTTGCTGCTTTCATAGAAAAAAAAAAAATTGTGGAAGTCCAACTTTCGGCATATCCTAAATTCAAAAGCAGATTCTACCTGTCCAATCATTAACTTAGTAAGAAACGACAATTCTGAGGAATGTACATGAATACACAAAAAAATGTATTGAAGACGCAAGAAAAGAGGGGAAAGGACTGCTTACCATCCCCCTAGGAGAATCACCATAGGAGCTCATTATACGATCGGAAAGACTGCCATGGTTTGTCCCAATGCGCATTGCTCTTCCATATTTCTTACATTTCTCAACCAATGGTGTGAAAACCTGGCATTTTTTCAAGCTAAAATAGGTCAATAGTTCATATTCAATATTAACTAATTCCAACAGGAATTGAAAATAATAAAATAGACTTTTCAATATCCATGCATCAAGAAGAAAATACAAAAGTGACACAGTTCTGGAAATCTTTTGTTTAGACTTCTGTTCAACTTGAGTAAAAGCCTGACTTTTTTTTGGAAAATAAAGATTAAGGAAAGAATCTTGTGGACAAAATGATCAGTATTCCAAATCCATTTCCTGTATACCGGATCATTTTTTAATCACATTGACATAAAACATTATTCCCACATCTTCAGTAAAGACTAAGAAGGCATATATGAGTGTATAACAGAAGCGGGACCCAAAATGAAGTACTGATAAATTAGCACACTGCATCCTCTTCACTAAAATTTGAAATCGACAGATGATTGGCCTAACCTTCTCAATATGCTCAAGTTCTTTCTGATAGTCGTCTTCTGTGTACTCTAATATTTCAAATTGAGCTCGTCTATCAGCTGCAGAAGATCAACATCTGGATTCAGAATGAAAGCCAACATTCGGAAAAAATGAAAATAAATAAAAGAAGTGCATACCAAAGTTTCCAGGGTTAACACGAATTTTATCAAAGCATTCAGCTACCCGTAAAGCAACAGTAGGAGCAAAATGAATATCTGCCACCAACGGTATGTTGTAGCTGGACAAAGATCAATAAGGACCCAGATCAATACATAAATAATATATGCTTACAATATCAATCAAGTCATTTTTTATAATAACTATAATTTAAACTTACTTTTTCTGTACAAGGGTGTTTTTAATCTCAAAGCATGCATCGGCTTCTTTCTTCCCTTGAACTGTTATTCGTACAATATCAGCTCCTTTATCTGCTATTCTCATAACCTGCCCATAGACATCAGATAAATAAAAAAAAACTACCACATCCGTCAGGCGGTTATATTGAGAAAATAGATCGGCATAACAGTGTAAATTGGCCAGAAGCTAGTGTTATTACTGCAAAACAGAATTAACAGTTGTATAACCTGTTCAACTGTTCAGCAACATCCTTAGTATCAGTTGTAGTCATGGTCTGAATTCTTATAGGATGCTCGCTACCAATAGCCACGTTACCAACCATCACTGTGTTAGTTTTTCTCCGGACAGTTTTGTGTAGTGATTCACAATACTTTTGCCTAGGAACTGCAATAAAAAAATAATGAAAGGATCAGGTGAACTGAAAATAAAATAATGCAAGTTAAAAATACGTTTTTACTCTATCCAGATCTTAACAGAAATACGTATCTTAAGTCTCTAACCAGACACCAGAATAACATTACGTTTGAGAAAATGTAGGAACTAAAAGGCAAATTTTGAACCGTTTCAATGAACCAACATATTTACTCGTAGTCAAGCACAAACCCAGATAGTCGTTCGAGACAACATTTAGGAATTTAAATTTGAAAATTTGACGGACGAAAAAGAAAATCGGAACTTTAAAACAGTAAAAAAAAATACAAACAAAGCAATATAAATGAAGCTAAGAAAGCATGCATACCCAAAAGGGACTTCCTGGGGAAGCGGGTTGAAGTTCAACAATATCCGGCCAGGATTCGAGTTCTGATGATCGATACCCTTTTCCTCGCAGCTTTACATGCTCTTCAAATCGGAAACTCTCACAAAATCAACGTTTTTTGCAAAGCCACAGACTGGAATCCCATGTCTTGAGCGAGGAAAACGATGTTGGCACAGTTCCGGAAGCCATTTCTGAAGCTCGACAGTGCCTTGTCTAACAAATTAGATATCCAAAATAAACTCAGTAGATGTATGGCAACACCAAAGAAACCACAAGCTATTGAAATTAACCAAAGAAGCCGTCAAGAAATCTTTTTTTTGGCGAGAACGAATTTCAAAGTCACAAAATATTATATTCAGTCAAGAAGAACACATGAGGAAACAAAACATTGACTACAAATTTTTTATTTGTAGCTGAAAATGTTGAATTGAAATGAAATAGTATACCCGCTGAGATGAGAAGAAGGCTGTGGTGGGAGGTCGACCGAATTTCAGAGCCCTCCGTTTCACACAAATTGACTCTCTATTTGAAATGAGTGAAACCACTGAAATGCAAATTCCAGTAATACAGACAAAAACATGGTAATTAGCCAGCTACCAACAATAACATTATATTATTATTATTATTGCTATTATTATTATTATTATTATTATTATTATTATTAACAATGAAAGCACATGCGTGTTATTTTTTATAACAAAAAATAATAAAATTATAATTATAAATATAAATATTTTTTATTTATTTTTGTAGATTATTTTTATTTATTTAACAGATAATTTTTATTTATTTAATATAGAAAAAAGTTATACTTAAAAAATTAATTAAATTTAAATAAAATAGTAACTTCAAAAATAAAATGAAAAAAACGAAAGAGAATATTCTATCAATATAATAATAATTATTATTATTATCCCTTCCAATAAGCAGCCATGCATGTGGCTCAGTTTTTACTTTTTCTCAACTACCATTTTTGCTATTTCCTTTTCTAACCCTAATCTTTTCTTTCTTAAATAAGTTAAATTCTTAAATTGTAATTTTAAATCTTATCTCCTTCGGTACCATAACTATGGTAATTTTGGCCATTAATCCACACACTCTCTCATATAGGTATTATTCATCTTTTTAAACAACCTAATAATATTTTTATTTTTCTAAATTACTTTTAATAAATGTTGGAATTATATTATTGAAATAATGTGTTTATTGAGAGAGTGAACGACACACGCCCAACCCAAATAAAACGAGAAAAATGAGTTCCGAATTTGGTATGTGATCCTCTGCACCCGTATTGTCTCTCCAACAAAGATCCTCACCGTTGATTAAATCATGTGGTCATAAAAATTAACCTATAAAAAACATATTTCAGATAACTAGTTATGAATAATTGATGTAGGGATGTATAGGGAAGTGGACAATCTAGATGCAAGTTGACGTTCCAAAGTTTGTCGGGTACTATATCACACGATCCTATCTCGAATGTTTAATTAACATTAATTAAAAATTAATTAACAATGTTTAATTTATTAGTCTCCTCATCCTGTATAAGGGATATCCGGCAGTCAAAATAAATAAATAAATAAATAAATATGCCGCCATCGGCAGACATATAAGAACCATTACTTACCTTAATGAAAGTCCACAATGAAGAATAAAATTGCTTTATTATTTTGTTAAAATAAAAAACAAAGTTACTTAAAGGTACAGGTATTTGAATAATTCAAAGATAATGAAATTATTAAGTATGTTTTAAGTCAGAACTATTTAATGAAATGACTAATATGCCTAAAGTTAGAAATAGAATCATTTTTAATTAGAAAATAGTTGACGAGAAAACTAAGAAAAAATAAATAAATTGTTTAATAAAAACTAATTACAGAGATTATATTTATAACTCGATTTGACCGTAAGCAGCGTAGAAGAATGTGTAGTCCGTGATCAACACCACATTGCTTTCTAAGTGTAGTTTTCAAAATAAAATAAAATGTAATAAACACATATGATTCTGTTTTTTTCCTAAAATAAATTGAGGTAAATACTAAGAAAATATAAATTGTTATAATTAAAATAACAAAATAGTGACGTTGATGTTTGTGTTCCCCTCACATATGTCAGGTTTTATTTTCTTTTTTTCAGCACTGTTTTGGATGAAAAACAAAAGAATTGCATCAAAAAGAAGAAAAAAACAAATTAAATAATCCTGTCGGGAAGGCGATCATATAACCAAGGAAGATGAAAATCATATATAAAAATATTTTATTTTGGAAAACACGTCCAATACTCAATAAAAGCTTTTTATTCTGAAATTTTCTTCATTAGTTGTTAAAAAATAAAATAATATATCATGAACTACAGCATTAAATGTCTTTAATATTTTTAGTCTGTCAAAACTCTTTAATTGAAGAGTGAGAAAAAGAATGAGAAGGGTATCCCGTGAACAAAAATACTCAATTTTTTCTAATGTAAGAGATATCGTATAATATTCTTATTTTTATTTTTAAACAAAATTATTTTAGATGATCAGCTCTAATAAAATATTGATTTTAAATATAGAAATTTTCACCGTTAGATATCATAAATACATCTATTTTATCAGTAAATGATTAATTACTAATATTTATGAGTTGGGTGTAATTAATAATATTCTGTAAAAGATGTGAAATTAATTAGTAATATTTATTATATATGGACACCCATTAACTGAATAAATATTATGATAAATGTACCATACCATGAATAAGTGAATAATTAATTAGTAATATTAATTTTTGGAAGATATCTTTTAAAAAGAGTTGGTATTGGAATGTGTTCTAAAAGCCTGAAGGGAATGAACTGCAATTGGAGAGTCAATAATGCATTGGCAAACCCAACCACTCATCCTTCTTGCACATGTTTCATTGTTCCATGTGCTCTGCAGATCATGTCACATCATGTCTCTGGTTTTGGCCACCACCATGTTTCTTTCAATGTATCAACAATTTGGTTTCTACAAAATTCTGCAAACAGACACCGAAGCTCAATGAATTTGAGAAGAATGGTATATAAATTTTTTATTATTTATACGAGTGAAGTCGAAAGTAAGAGTAAATTTGAAATTTGTTTTTAAAAATTAACGTAAAATTTGATTGATGTAATAAATTAAAAAATTTTATTTTTAAATTCATTTTTACTTAATTTTTAAAGCTATTCAAATAAATAATAAAAATTTATTTTTAAATTATGTCAAATTTATTTAATCATTTTTTCAAATTTATTTGAGTGAAGAAATTCTTAAGTTTTTAAAATGTGTTTCATTCTAATAAATATTAGAAAAATATTTTAAATTATGAATATTGTATTTGAAAATGATTTTGCATGCTTCGAAAATAATTTTTCAGTGTAAATTTAATGAATGGAACAGTTACCAGAAATAAAAAGTAAAAGGCTGACCGATTTATTGAACCACTGTGGTAAAAGGTATTTTTAGTTATCCACAGTGCTATTAAATACTACCGTAATTAAACATTAATTAAATATTTATAATTTTTCAAAATTCAACAATTAATTTTTTTTTATAATAGCTAGAGAATAACGACCGTTGATGCATGATAACTTTTATCATTGATCAAAATTTAAATTTAATATACTTACATGATAATTTATTAAAATGGTTCCAATATTATATATATAAATATATCTGTGTGAGAGAGAAATAGGAGCAACTTCCAATGTAATAGACCCAGACCTCGAAAAATGTTACAGTTTTAAAGTGTAATTATTAAGCATCAAAGTTGTTTTCAAACTGTTTTAGGAAAAAAAGAACTAATAATTTATTTGAAGCTAAAGTATAGAAACTTTACATATATCGACGCATAAGACTATAATAATTTTAATTGCAATGAATATTATTTAATTTAAACTTATGATATGTTAGATTTCAAAAATAAAAAATATTCTTTTCTCAAAAACATATTCTGCATTAAAAAAAATTATTTTACTGATATGGTAATGGTTTATTAATTGTGAATATTTTTTGAGCAATACACATAGCAACTTAATTGAGTGAATATTATGTTATTAAAGAAGAAACGTCAAAGTCACAATAATACCATATTTTCAAATAAAATATGGTATTATTGTGTTCTTCCACTCTATTACGTCGATCATCCGAATGGGATAAAAGAAAAAAATGAAGAGTGAGAAATGACATTATTGTTGTTCGAGTGTACAAAATTTAACAAAATAAAAGATTCAGAAAAATGTACAAGTTTATTAAGCGCGTAACTTATGTCGATTTTTAATCAATAAATATTTTCTATGCTATTAAAATCATAACTAACATAAAATACTTTGATGTAAGTTAAAACTAAAATTAACATAAAAAGTTTTTTTTTTTATGGAAATTGAAATTAGAACCAACATAAAGATTCTTTCAAATCTTTAATTATGTCATTGTCTTTAAGGTTAAAAATTGTTGATACCATTAAATGTCTTTTTCTGTAACATAGAGGATTCCGGATTCTTTTATGTGATATGGATATTTCAAGCATTGTGCTCACTTTTAAGAGAATTTTTATTATTATCATATTAATGAACTTATATTAAAGGTTTTAGACAACTTGATATAGAATGAGATGTTAACATTACATATGTTTTAAAAGAAAGTTATTCTCTTACCTCTTATTGTGTCAAAATATAGAACCCTTTTACTTTTTGAACGTCCCTCTAGCTCAGGAAAATTGAAAAACAGGTTTGGGTAAGTCATACAAATCACAATGCCTCAAAGGCTTTTATTTTCTGCACTCCCACAATTTCTTTGCGCACCTGCTAAAGTTTTCAAAATGACAATTTTACTTTCCGTGAAACTAATTTTCAGAATATATGTTTAGGTGATTTTCTAGAATAAGTTTTTTAGAATTTTCAGAAGGAAAATGTTTTTTTTAATTTTTTTTATGTTTCGGAGATTTTTAGAATAAGTTTTTTAAAAATTTTAGAAGAATAAGTTTTTTAAAAATTTTAGAAGAAAAATGTTTTTTTAACAATTTTTTTATAATCTTTTTATAACATATAATCCATTATCAAAAAAAGTTTTTAAAAAAATGGTTAACATATGGTCTTTTCCAATATTTGAAACAGAACTTTAGAATAAAATTTTCAGAACAGAACTTTTGGAACGGTTTAAATGTATTTCGAAAAAGATATTTTGGAATAGAATATTTGGAACAAA